TGTCTGTCCCATGATTATAATGTCATCCTTTTTTGACTACAATTCCGATACTTCTCCATACGCCGATTCATTATTTGCAGAAGAGTAAGAGACGAAAACATTTAGTAAAGTCAGAGTGTTATCTCAGAGTGGTTTGCTACAAAATCGTGTAAAGAAATTTGTTGGAAGATGCATGTTTAATAATGAAAATGCAGCTTAAATTTTACTGTCATGCCCTAAATTCAAAAATGTGTACGACATCCACTTCACCTCAGACCTTCAACACATCGTTTACTCCTGGTGGTTATCAACTTCTCAAAGTCTGTCCTACTCAAAGCACTCTAGGCATTCAGCTGGTTATTCGACCGCTAGGTTCAATTGTTACAATATGCAAACTTCAGTAATGCCTCCGATGCACTGTCGATTTAGGTAAGATCGGGACTCCGAGATATCTAGTTTATGGCTTCAACTTGGTTGCTATTTAGCAATCGTTACCTCTCCTAGTGTTTCCTTCTTTTTGTTGAAACAGCAAACGCCCAACGTTTTACTGTGTCACAGAGGACAGCATTCAAACAGAAGTGGTCTGGATGTGTGATTAACCATTCTGCGTCCCCCCTAGAACTACCAATTTCAGGTTCTTCCATGCAAAAAAGTTCTCCGAACTACTGCAATGCCAACTCACCACAGTCGCCTACTGGGGGTTTCGGTCTCTTTGCGCAACTCATTACAGTATTACTTCCAACACTCAAGACAAACCAATTTAAAATTCCTTGCATCGGAGAAGGCCAGCTACTGCTACTTGGCTGTCTGGTTCAGTACAGTACAACTTATTCGTTGTTCTGATGGGTGAATGACAACGAAATCTTTGATGAACTTAATGGTAGTCTTTAAAAGCTTCAGTTGCTTATGGTTTACCTGTTACTGCTTCTTGTGGACACCTAGAACATACGGTAGACGTGCTAACCCATGAAATGTTAACCGAAATTTTGAAGTGCGTTTTGGACTCGAAAAAAATTACTTAAGGTTGTAATATTAATCAGCTTGCAGCATGATCCCATGATAATTTAGTTACTTCAGGATGCCGGCTTTTGAACGAACTTCATTCCGGCCTCTTGCAAAAATCACATCTGGTTAAAAAGTGCCACTTAAGTAGAAGGACTCTTTCTCATCGACTCCCAATGACCTCATAAATTTGTTTCCTGGAAAACATGCTTAAGCATACTCATTCCTTTGCTCATTTGTTAGGAAATTAGCTCTTTTGGAATTTTGTACTTGACGGAAGGATATAATTCGGTTTTAAAAACGTTTCCCATTCGCGATTGATTTTGAGCCCGACCTGCCGCTACACGTTCATTCAGGGTTTCCAAACTACAAGCTGTATATTTTCCGTGCGCGGAAAATCATGAATTTCTATACGCTATGAAGAGGAGACCATACTTTGATCCATAGAATTTAGCGGCGGATTGGTGCCACATTGCAGGCTTTTAAAGCAACACTTGTAGATGCGGAGACACGATGTTTTATGAACAGGAATTTCACGGTCTTGAAAAAATCCTACAATTAGACTTTTTTTAAAGCCCTTCCATCAAAATCCAGCCTTACTTAGCATATCAGTTGCACTCGTTTTGACGTTCGTAAAAGGCAAAAAAGTCTGGGAGTACTTACTGATTATTGAATGCAACCCACCGGGTTGGCGTCATTCAGTCGTTCGGTTTTTGCAATTATTTCACGCTCAGTAATATCAGACCATACAGTGACATCTCCCCAGTCCGGACGCGAAGAAGCGCTAGTTTATTAGGTGACCTTGTAATTTTGGAGCAACCATCCTATGACATTCTTCCTGCTTCTTGTGCAATGGGATCATTTTGTGGTAGAACCTTCCGCTACTTAATTTCACGCGGGAACAACGAATCGATCAACGCAAAACCTTCGACTTTTTGCCAATAAGGTAGGTAGTATTATAACGGCAGGACAGGCGGTAAGTCTTGCGACGATAAATAAATCTCCTGCCAAGGCAATGGTGAGACATGAATGCCGTTAATGAACAAAATTCACGGGATGGCTCCAGTTCCTTGACCAGGACCAAACTGCATCCCATGACCGTTTACACTGGATTTTAACTAATGTAAACTCGTGTTAAATCAGTATTTGTGAGTTCATCTTCAGTGCAGAACGGGATGCATTTTTTCTTACTTTGGGGCTTCCGTTTAGGCCTCTTGCAATACCTCACGACAGAAAAGAAGATAGAGATGACTGCTACAGTCTGGCTGTGTTCTGCAAGTAAACTCCGTGGGGAAGGTACAACTAAAACGAAAAGTTGGCTAGAACCACTAACCTGCGTACATCAACTTCCAACAAAACCACAGTGGATAAGCGCGCACTCCCAGGCTCGCTAAAGCAACAGTTGATGGGCATTCCCCTTCGTTATGACTATGTCCCGAAGCTTATTCGTCTACTTTTTCTCCTGTTACCTTACCCTGATTCTAGTTCAGTTTCGTTTTGTACACATCCTTTTTCGTACCTTAGTATGTTTTTTTCATCTGTACATGTCTTCAAGTACGCATACTTAAGCTGTCAACAGTGGAACGCCCTACTTTTGCATCGCCTTTGGTTAAGACTGAACGCTGCTCCCTCTATTGGTTAATATGAGTCGTTGTGTTGAGGGTTAGTGTCGGACGAATGGAAAAGTTAAGCGACGCCTGAGCACAATTCGCCTTCTCTATAAGTCATGACGCGACAAATTTGGTGTCATTAAATCTTCTAGAGTTGTTTGTATCCTAAAAAAGTTCCCGAAAACTCATTATGAAAAGTTCATGAGGAAGCAGTGTCTGCAAATCTTGGAATGTTATTTCGAAATTCAGGCTTCCTTTGTTACAACATGGAGGGGTATGTATGCTATTTCCGCGTCTGGAGTCCTTACACAAAATCAGCAACACATCACTCCAGTCCATGTTCCCAACAACGGGGACCCGCCTGTAGTTTGCCACGAACGGAGGGATCTTGTTGAGTACGTAAGCATGAGAAAAGTGAACTTGTACCAGGCCATTCGGAGAGACCCCGGAACGTCCACTGAAATAAGTCATCGTGAGTTTCTAATCTTGCTACGTTGCAGCGTATGTAAGCGCACTAGCATGTACCCATACAGGATAAAATTAGTGAATAAATAAAAGCTGAGCATCAGTAGCAGCTAAACCATGCAATCTGTATCCAAGAGGTAGTTGAGGACGTTGGGATCGAGGTCAATTATTATTTGAATGGCTCTGTGAATAAGCGTACTCAGTCGTTTGGGCCCGGAGAATCCAACAATCTTCGATCAATATGAGTTGTGCCGCATCAAGGACAAGGCGCGGTAACGTTCGAAGGGGTAATCGGGCTTCACCTCTTTAGTACAGAGGCCTATCACCGATGTCGAGTTATGTCAGAAACCTATGTCCTTCAGTGAGGTGCAGGCCTATGACATTGCGGGGGCGAAGTAGGACAAGTACTCACACGGCCGGAGGCACGATACTGCTGATACGTATCCAAATTTTAGATGGATCCCCTGTATGACTGTTCTTACAGCGTTAGACCTTGGAGTAAACCAGTTCAAAGAAATTACTGGTGAGGTGCGAGTATTTTCGGAAGATGCCGTAGAGTCCATGCTTTCGTACACGCACAGCTCGCACGAACCACCATTTTTCTGTACTTTCCATTACTGAAGACTAAGCAGGGAATTTACTCAATCTTTTAGTGGCATAGAAACTTAGGGCAGGTACTGAGAATCCGAAAGCTAAGGACAATGACGTCAAAAGAGCTCTATTAACGTCCAACCCATGTATAATGCTGACTTCTCCCTTGCCAATGGTTGATGATTGATATCGGGCCACCAACTAGCGGCTCATGGGGATTGTGTTTGAAAATTTTATGCATTTTAAAAAGCGTCCCCAGGGTGGCACAGTTCAACCGTTCTCGGAGAGTAAAGGCCTACAAGCATTCGCTCAACTCTCAACACCCCTATCATATCCGAATATCGATTATTCTCTATTCAAACTCCAGAAAATACTGAATTCCATAGTCTCACTTGTCACTAGAATACTTAGTAAACCTGCACTTATTCACAGTGAACCAGTCAGCATTTAGGTGGGCAGCATTCACGCCGTCGCATAAGCCTAGAGAACCAGCAAATGGACGACTTACGACTGGGCGGATTGGCACAAGCCTCGGTTGAGTGTCAGCAAAAGGTCTGTGGAACCGTAACTCACCAGCACAGACGTGGCACATGCACTACGGCAACCTACTAGCCCACAACCTACACTCACGAACGACGCCCTCCGACCAGTGTGTCATCTTTTCCAAGGTGCTGCAAACCTCAACACCTCCCTAACGATGATAGTTAGATTACAATTATTATTTAGTGGGGAGAGGGAAAGGTGGAGGGTCGAAGCTACGACACAATTATCCTGAAAGAGAAGACTGTTGCTGCAAGAGAGCGTGCTTAAACTAAATTTTTGGATATTCTCCTTCGCAGGAGGGAAAAGAACCTTTGTGAAGGCACGTTATCACAGCCCACCCACATCAAAGCAGGCCCTTCAGTGCTGAAGGCTACTTAGTTTTATAATAGACAGCGTGTGTAAGATGTCAATATTCGGAGGCATGTAAGAGTACTCAAACCTTAGATCACTCCCTCGACAAACCAGACGGCTGTAGCACCTAATCCGCCTTGCGCCAAAATTATCGTCTTCCTATAAATTGTGTGCAATCAGTAAAAGCCTACACAGGTTGTCAGGATAGAATGCCCACCTCAAATCTTGAACCGGACGATCCCTTTATGCGTGTGATCTGCATAAGTGGCAACGGTAGGATGTTTACCATCCGTCTCATAACCATAGCCACCACCATAAAATGTACGAAATGCCTGATTACATAACAAGAAAGAAATAGGTACACTTCCCGATTCCAAAACAAGGCCGAGCAAATTAGCAGGTAGGGATGTATTTACAAACTCTGAGCAATTTAGTATAAACTGGAGCTCGCAGTGTAGTTTATTGAAATATTTTTCTCTTCCTGGACTCACGCGAGGGTTCGCTGCGGTGGTTATGCTCCGCAGAATTTTGGACGCACCATCCACACGTGTAGCAGTGGACACGGTCCGGTGGTCGGCATCTTGAACAAGCGTTGCAATGAACGTACGGACGGCCGTGCTAAAATGGAGAAGTGGCTACTTATTTTATATTTTCCATCGTCGAAAAGGTTGGCACGAATAAAAGTAATAACGCGCTGTGCTGATTAGTGGGAAATGAAATAACTACCAAAGTTGTGCAAGCCTTGCAAAGATCGCAGTGGGGATTTTCAACACTGGAATATCGCTGGCAGTCCTCACAGAATCTACAAGTTATACGGATGAAGAAAGCAAGAGGGTTAGGAAGCTATCTCTCTATGGTAGCTGTCTTGGAAAAGTAAGAAATCAGTCGGAGGCAGTAAGCACAATACCAACTGTCTACTGGCACTCCTTCAGTAACAAAGCAAATTACAAAAAACATCCCCGAATGCGTGCCAGAGTTCACGTTTTGTAGACGCCAAAAAGACCTCAGTGCAGGGACGAATTTTTACTGCAAGTCTGAAGGTTCTAGTCTTGCAATTCTTAAAAAAAAACACCGCTGGGAAGAAACGTTCGAAAAATTTGTAGTTTTGTCACGTGAAAAACCTTCTTATGTGGCGATTTCGACAGTTTCAGCTGGCCTATGACTAGCGGTTTGGATGGGTCCCGAGGGCCTGGCTCCTGCCAAAACTTGTTTCCGTACCCCTCTTGCCCCCGTACTTGTTAACTGCAGCCAGTTGTCTCGTGTAGATATAGGGCTCTCACCACTCCCTCTAGTTAGGGTCTCAAAAGTCCATTCCAAATGCAAGAAACGAATGTTACTTGACTCTCTTGCGAACAGACACGTAGTCCAGTAATTTCAAACTACAACTTCGAAAGTCCCGTGAGCTCCATAACAGTTTGGTACGACCGGTCTCACTCGTGCCGATGCTCCGGTGGCAATAAAATTAAAATGCCTACAGATTGAGCGTAGTGTCAGCCGCTAATGGTCACAATTGGGGTGGAAATCAATTCAAAATAAGTTAACTTTGCTGAACACGGGCCAAAACAACTAAAGCCAGCCGCAGATAATTAACCACTTATTTTACTGGCCTGAACTGTGACTCCAAATCAGATGGTGGTCTGATGTCTCTGGGTGGCAGGTCAGTGAATAGGCGGACAATGGACACCCGGCGATTGCTGCCTGAGTTGTCGCTTGTGCCGGCAGAGGTTAAGCGACGATGGCTTTCGTAAGTTACCTGAAATGGTAAAACACGACGAAATGGGGGGGGGGGCTATAATAAACGCTTTACGAGGACAACTTTAAGCTAGTTAACTGTAATGGAAAGTGCGGAGAGCTCCCAGTGGAAGGAACCACGGTAGCCCTCGTTATTCTCACAATGGTCAACATAAGGCTCCGTTTTGGAAACCGAGAAACTACTCTCAACTACATTCTACAAGCTAACCTGTTTTTGAGTGGCAACACAGAGAGCCTTTTTTTAATTCTACACATCAATTTAGCAAGAATCCTAGCCCTTGGCAAAAAGCATAATCGGGAGGCAATAGAAAGTTCGTGGATTTGAACTTCATTCGTATAACCGTGGGAACTTAGAGTACCAAAAATATATCCAAGTCATGAAGACTTCATCCTCAGCTGAAAGGTAGCGAGTGTTTGTCGGCCTTTTGAGGTCGAGGAGATTTCAGATAAAACGCTCCTTCTGACAGGTGAAGAACGGGCACTAGAGAGTTGACTTACCTCTTAGGCGCGTGATATTGTGTTTTAAATCTCGTAGCGATAACGGGTAAATAAAGCCCAAAGGACGAATGAGAGTGAGCATGACGATATCGACGAGGAATTGTCTTTATAACTGGCCAGCGGTCGACACAGAGGCAGCGAGGAGCAGGCTGTCAACTACCCAAACTGTATGTCGGCGTGCTCCGGAATTTCGGGCACATGCAAAACTAAGGCAGTAAAGTTGGGTAAATTGGTTACCGAATCCAGCACAAAAAGCCTGACGAGCTAAGAGACTAACGATGCAGAACACATTGACTATACCAGCTAGTTTACCCACTCGAAGCTCGCTAAGAAACGAAATGTATCCTAAAAAGCCTCATTGACTTACCCGACCGGCCACCCGGCTTCCAAGAAGGACAAACTGGCATAACCTGGGCATGGTCAAAGGGCGGTAAAAAGGCATTTCTTAGGGAATGAGTTTACTGGTGGACAGCGCGTCTTGTAGAAAAGTATAACGATCGAGTGATGATTCGCAAACACTTACAGACGACGGCAAATTCAGTCTAACTTTCAATTAGATCAGCCGATACAAGGGAAACGCGAGTACCGGGAAGGAGTTGAGAATACCAGTCAGATCAGTACCGCTATACTGAAATGACCCGATTCTCGTAAGATCTACTCTATAATCATCTACTCCAGTTCTTTTTGTGTAGGAATACGGGTTTGTTTCCAAACTATGGCCGGACAATAGGCCGACCCATCCTGATTTTAAGAGCCTACGATTACTAGGTTCAGTACGGTTTGTGATTATCCGAATATGCTGCGAATCAGGGCAACTTGTACTTAATACGGTTGTGAGCATGTCTGGTCTGGACGGCCCCGACGATGTTGCGAATTTCGCCTTTCCACACCTGACGATGTGCGGCGGCAGATTTTAAGAACTCGACCCATTCTCTACTTCCGCGTCTCGATAGACAGTGCTGAGCCAGGTTTTGAGTTGGCACCTTCGATGCCGAGTGAGCACCACTGTTCAAGGTCAATATCAATTGGAGCATTGCCAGATAACATACGACAGGTTGTAAGCATCTCAGCAGTGTCTTACTACACTGCCGAAGATTTCTTAAATTTGGGAGCTATGTAATTCTGTTAAAAGATGGCGGCACCCTCCACGAGAGCTGTTCGTTCAATGTTCGCAAGGAGGGTCTGGGTCATTCTGTAAAGTCCGAAAACATTTCCTTAAATCGTGAAAACCCATAGAATCGAGGAGAAGTGGGTCAAATCAGATCTTCGGTTAGGTCCGGCCAACTAATGAAGTTTTATTACGTAAGGCGACGGCGAGAAAAGCCCTACTGAATGGCACATAACATTCGGCATGTCTAAATATCTCTGGCTTATGACCTTTCTGGACGCAACCACTTTACCACATCGGTTCCAGTCACATATGGCATTATAGTCAGTGCATAATCGTCAGACTCAGGCACCCGCTTATTCCGCAGTAAGCTTTCAATAAAAATAGTCCCAGAATCCGCCACCGATGTTTGTGACGGTAGTCTGCAGATAGAGTGGCAGACAAATTCTGTCTTCTTGGGCCATCTGTTTTCCCAGAGCATGAACAACGGCACACAGCTGCCAACGGCTGTCTATATAACATAAGCGACAACCCCTTAAACAAACGCAGAGTTTTTCAAACATAAAAGGATAACTGTTAGTTGGCCGTAATGATAGCAAACTGGGCGTGAAAAAGGTTCGGTATGCGACCATTAGCCAGGAAAGTCACATGTTATAAAATACTGCACTCGTGCCCGTTAAATCATAAGGCAATCCCCTTAAGAAAATCAATTCCCTCTTACTTGTACTAACGCACTCGCTTTCTTTTCATTAGAAAATGTGGAGAATGGTAAAAAACGTTGCGACTCCCGTATGTGATTCCGTTGCTGCGGCGACATTTAAGCAAGCTAAAGTTCCAATAAGTACCTTGTAGTCCAGCATCTTCATGGTCGGGGCAGCATCAAATAGCTTAGGTCCGAGGAAGTATGGCAGTACCAACATCATTTTCACATCCCTTGACGTCAAGTCCTTATTACTGTCCCCTACCAAGAGAGATGATATATCCACTCGCAGAAAATCCCACCTGTTTTGCTCTTCTGCATGCTCTCCTTAAGGCTGGTAAGTGTCACCATCAAGGGTTGCAGCATAACAGAGAAAGGAGGATCACAGAAAATGATGCTGCGACCGT